CTCGTCAATGATGGTATTTTCTCGTTGTTGTTTGTTATTCTAAAATGTATGGACGTGTTTACTTTTGCTTTGGGCTGGTATTATCTGTGTTTACTCTTCATGCATGATTTTGACTGCATTTTCCTGTTCCTAATGAGCATCTCTCTCTTCTCACTCTGTACCCTAACAAGGCCACTCTACACATAACAAATTTCTAAAATGATGGAAGTCCTTTTTTCTTCTTGTAGTGCTAGGGTCTGAACCCACATCGTCATGCACGCTGGGTAAGCACTTTACACTGAGTCCCACCCCAGCCCACTGCAACTTCATATTTTGTATTCTAACCCTCTCTTTCTTGGCATGTGTTAGCAGCCTAATGGTTTCTTTAAAGCAAGGTCACACCCTGGCTTCTGGACATGTTTTGCCAGGAAGCATTCAAATTCTTCTTCTTCTTTGTCTTTGTCTTCATCTTTGTCTTCTTTTTGAGACAGGGTCTCACTATGCAGTTCAGGCTGGCCTTGAACTCACTTTGTAGCCCAGGCTGGTCTCAAACTTGCAATGATTCTGCCTCAGCCTCCTGAGTGCTGAGATTACAGGCATGCATCACCAAGCCCAGATAGCATTTAAATTCTTAAAAATAAATTGCCAACCTTTGAAATTTATGAAGCTGTATTTGTAAGTTTAGATTTCAGCATCCAGCTTCAAGAAAAGAAGTTACATAATCTGGGAACCCTGGGCCCACATTCTTCCGAGACAGGACTGAACTAAAAGGCCACGGACGCCCCATCCAGAAGCCTCCTTTGCACACTGTTAACTGCACACTCTTGGTAAGTCCCTGCACCTTCATGGCTCAAGGTTCTACCTGCCAAGTGGGGTTCAGGGCACCTGTATCATCAGGTTGCTGTGAGGCTTAAATAAACTCATGAATGCAAAGTGCTCAGAGTGGGATCACACACACCCCGTAAGCCCCGGGGGGTGTCCTCAGCAGTCTGGACTTCGTACGCAGTTTTGCAGCTTTCTTTTAAGATCTCCCAAAGTGGCTTGAGAACAGTGTTCTTGTAAGAACTCACAGGGAGATGAGCTCTCCCCCACCCTGGTGCGTCTGCAGCCAGCGACCGCAGGATGGAAACTAACTGTCTCAAAAGAAGGGAAACAAAAGCTGGCAAAATTGAAGGCAGAAAGACAATTCACCAATCACAACAAGAGAGTGCATTACCTCAGGTTCAACAATAATAAACTGGACAAATTATTACCATAGAAACAACCAATTAGACACAGCAGGCATCTAGAACACGCCATCCCCAGTGAAATACACATTCTTCACAATAATTTTTTTGGGGGTTAAATGTCTATTAAAAATTGTGTCCATTTCTTAAAACTATGATCCTCTTATAGATTTTGAAATGAACTCTTTGTCAGATAGATGTACTGAAAATATTCTTTCAATTTTTACCTAGTTTTTAAATTTTTAAAAAATGCCCTTTCAAGTAGGATTTTAATGTATTATAATGTAATTACATTTTTAGTTATATATTCTTGGATGAGTCCTAGTTTTCAATGCACTGCATATGAAATATTTGTTTCCTGTCATGGTAATTTTTTACTTGATGGCGGGCAATTTATGAGTATTATATTGATGATTAACTGGATTGCATTGTTTTTCTTTAGAGAAGGTTGAGAGGTTTTTGTGTCAAGAAGTTTTGTTGCTCGTGAGTCTTTTGAGGCCTGCTGAAGTTTGTAACAGTAGGTGCCCGGCGTCTTTGCCCCAGATCTAGTTTAGTCTCACTGCTAAAGTGTGACCTTTCCCAAGTGTCCCCTGAATGCCTTAATTATTTTTAAAGTGCGCTCCCTGGACTAGCGGCAATTGCTTTATCAGTATTGCAAAATCTTAGGCCCTACTGCAGACCTGCTGCAGCAGAAACCTGGCGTTGGCCTCAGCTATGTGTTTTAATATGTTCTCTGGGTACTTCTGGTACTTACTAACATCTGAGAGCCACCACACTACAGCAGTCCTCAAAGTTTCATACGCATATAGATCGCCAAGGCATTTCATTTGTTTAGTTATTTATCTTTTCTGATTGAGTAATCAAGATAAAGCCTGAGTTACAAAGTTCTGACTAGCTTCTAGGTGCTAGTACTGGTGGCTGACCCAGAAAGATATATTTTAGGTGAAAGAATATGGAAATTTCCCCACATTTCTAAATCCAAGTTTCAAGATGGAAGCATTTACTATGATTACTAATAAAAATATAATACCACTTGTTGAAAATTTTCATTTTATGCTGGTCACTCTGCTTGTCATCTCTGAGTCCTCACACTGTCCCTGGCAGGGCAGATTGGTCTTATTCATTCTTTCCTGTCAAAAGCTCCAACTGAAACTCAGATTAAAAGTCCTGCCTGATGCCGTTGGGCAAAACCTCTACCTAAATCACAGTTTGGCAAATTCAGATCCCCCTTCTCCAGTTCTTGTGGTTGTTCTTTTGCTTTTTCTATTTTGTGTGACTATGATCATGAAAGCCAACACACAGAGTTCAGCCTGCTCTGTACCGGATTGCCACGACCAGTGTGACGGATCGGACCGAGCCCGGGTTGTAGGTCACCGTCACCGAGCACAATGCCTGCATTCTGTGAACTCTTTTCAGCCAGTATTAGGTAACTTCTTGCGTATCAGGCTACTGTCACTTTAAAAAGTCATATACTGCCAGATATGGTGGCTCAAGCTTGTCATCCCAGCACTCCAGGAAGCTGAGGAAGGAAGGTCCAAGTCCAAGCTTAGGCTGGGCGATTTAGCAATTTAGCAAAACCCCCTTTAAAAATTAATATATATACATATATATATATATATATATACATATATGTATGTGTGTATAGATAGATAGATAGATAGATAGATAGATAGATAGATGGGAGAGGATGGGGTGGGGGATGCTAGCTCAGTGTGAAACCCCTAGTTCAATCCCAGTGCAAACAAATAAATAAATAATAATTCATTTATTAATACAGGCACTGTACTTTCTGTTAACTTAGTAAAACAAGTCTTTTGTTTGACTTGGAAGGAGGATGGCATCTTGGCAAATGAAGGGAAGATTTGCAGGGACTGGTGAACATTAGTGCACCTGACTGCAGCCTGGGGCTGAAGTTAAACTGTATCTGTCCGGGAGTCTCGGGGTATTGGCTGGGGAACTGGGGTGACTCCAGGGTCCCCGGGAGGGAAGATGGGGCACAGCCTGGGATGTGCTTCTCTCTCCCCACTGCCTTCTTTTTCTCCGGCAAGGGAACTCTGCCCTCTACTAATTACATTGTAGCCTGAAGCATGAGGTTTGATCGTTTATGCCTTACCTTAGATCAGGAAATACACTATTATTAGTTAAAATTTATCCATATTAGTAAGTCGCAAACCAGCCTATGATCTGCAGTTTTGCCCAGTGTATACTGGGTTTTACAAATTGGGTAACTGCCACTGGAAAGCTGCCTTCCCTTCACAAAAATTACTCCAACACTGATTTGGACAAAGCAAAGACCTATCTTAAGTATGGTAATTTCTAGTATGAATGGTCCTGGATGAAAGGCTACGTAGATTATCCTCCAAAGTTTAAAACCTCTCTCTCTCTCTCTCTCTCTCTCTTTCTCTCCTTTCCCATGCTTCTCCCAGAAGGGAACAGGCAGGTTAAACGCCTTTTCTTAAATCTCACAGTCTTTGACTCTGACTATATTCTTGGACCAAATGAAACCATCAGCCTGATTTTGCTATGTGTATTCAATTTGTAAGAAAAGCTGGGCTTGCTGGGATCCTCACATCTTCAATACACACAGAAAGCGTTAGGATTTCATGATTTAATTTGTAATCAGAAGTTGATGTTTCTGAAAACAGAGCACGCTTTCTAAAGATCACTTCCCCTCTGCCCAGCAGGCCTGAGACTGGTGGTGCTCTGGGTGCTGGAGCCTGGGAAGGCCTGGGTCCTCCCTGGGCAGTGTGTGGCACACTGGACTTTTAGGGGACAGCATAGAGCTAGGACATTGACCCAGGTGAGCAGTTCAGAGCTGGCCACAAACCAAAAGGAAGTGTACCAGGTGGGCAGTCAGGGAGCCCGAGGCTGCAGGGACCCAAGGGCAAAGTAATACGAGGATTCCAAAGTCTGACTGGGCAAACAGCCGTAAACTAAGAATGTCACCGGGTGGGAAAGGTGGGGACAGGCAGGGAACCAGAAACTCAGCGAGCCACTGAAGCACCACCCTCGGGAGCAAACGGCCCAGAGAACCAAGACCCAGCCTTGTTGTGACTGAGCTGGAAAGGCAGGAGCCTGGGCGTCTGACCTCAGACGCCTCCCCCAGTGTGCTGTGTGAGCAGGGCGGGTTCCTGTGGCCCAGCTCCTGGCACAGAGAAAAGAGAAAGGAGAGTCACCAGAGGCTCAGTGTCACAGCTGCAGAACACAGCGCCCACCTGCTGTCATTTCCTTTGTGAATGGGTTCCTGCCAGGTCGGGGTGCAGCGCAGCAGTCTGTGTGGACTTTGCGGGGCTGCAAATCAGGGCGAGCAGAATCGTCCCGAAGCTGCCTGCAGCATAAATCCTCTGCTTTACCCAGTGGCTGCATTACCTGGAGTGGTGCTGGATGATGGTAACTTTCTACCAAAAGATGCATGCGGGTATTACCCACAGTGATCCAAATTCTCTTCCTTCCCATACTGCCAGAAGGACAAAATCCCAGCTCTTTGATATGACAGGTGAACGTTCATAATGTAACCCCAATGTACTGTGTGGGTCACCTGTATACTACACGAGCCTAAAACCAATGGGAACTCCGCAAGTTCCCAGGGCCTATAGCCTTTGGGTCTTTGTCAGAGTTGCACACTTTATCTCCAAAGTTACTCTCCTCGCACTCCACTGATGTTCAAACTCTTGCCTTTGGTTTGCCTCCAAGTGTGGAAGTCACTTCTTTTAGGAATGCCCTGTAATTCATTTGGCTACACTGTCACCAAGTGACCTTGTGTCCGGCAGTGCTTACATCTAAGCATGCACCGACCTCTCCATTAACGTTTCCTTCCCACAAAACTGGGTGCTCGCAGGGGAAGAACTGACAAGCCAATCTTGTATCCCAAGCACCTGACAGATATTAGATATTTAACAGTTATTTGATAAGCAAATAAAGAATAGGCTGACTAGAATGGAAAAATAAAGCTTCCCAACAAACACAAAAATAATCCCAAGCAACCTCGGCAATCATAAACTAACAACGACAGTAACCCCTGAACAATAATCATGGAAACTTTTGCAGAATGCCAGAGAAAGGCTTTCGGGGCAATGCTTAGCTCTGTGAACTCTGCCTCCAGCACACGCGCACCTGGACGTATGTGCTCACGTAGGCTGCGGGAACTGTGAAAACAGTTGTTACAATTGCTCAGAGCGATGAGCACTAGCCACGAGGCAGAACTGAGGATGCAGAGAAACAGCACTGTTACGGGCACCTAACGAATGATCAATCACTGAGCGGTAGCCGATCAGATGTCGTTGTGATTTGTACCAGAAATGCCTGGTTTTCTGGATTCTGTAGCACCCATCCACCTCTGGGAAATCACAATCCTGCTGAAACAGGGTCAGAGCCCCTCTGTTCCAGGCTGTCTCCATTCCTTCCGGGCTCCTTGTGGAGCTAGAACCCCGCAATCATATTTTCTTGGGTTATCAAACATCTCTTTCCTGTGGTCCCTGGAGGAAGCTGATTGTGTCACTGAGTGACGCAAAGAGCACGCTGCATTTCAACCCTTGGCGTCTTTCCTCCTCCGGAGCTTAGCTGTTCCCTTCCTGGTCTTCTAACACACTCTCTGCATGGCCCGAGCCTACAGTCTGGAGACTCCGTCAGAAGATATTTCCTGCCTCTGCATTTTCCCCAAGCCTTTCTTCTGAGCTACATCCTCCAGCCCTTTCCTAGTGTTTATCTTGAGACACTGTGATAAGAGATCATGAAATCATCCCAGCTGACTTTGAGTTTGTGATCCTCTCGCCTCAGCCTCCCACAGTGCTGTGATTACAGGTGCGTACCATCACGTCTGGTCTTATATATTTTGATTTTCACCTTTTCTTAGTTCTTTTCTCATTAGATTAGAAGTTTGCTTAAGTCTTTTCTATTTAAAAAATAAGAAAGAAAAGAAAATTGAAACAAGCTCTCCCTTGCTGTGGGGTCTCTTTTTAGCTGTTATGTTTTTCCCCCACTGTGGGAAATGTGACCATTTTGACCATTTTGACTTCTTTTCAACACCCTGTGAATTTTGGTTTCTCCATGGTTTTATTCCAGGGCCTAAGCTTTTACTTACTTTAAGGATTTTACACAAACTTGATGGTCTCTACCTCACACGCAGATAATTTCTCAATTTATGTTTCCAACTGAGCCTATTGATAAGTTGCTATCTAGCTGATTGCCTGGTAGATATATCTGTTTGGGTATTTAATGAGCATTTCTTCATTTTCTTCCTCTCTGTATTTTATGTGTAATGTATTCAGTGATTGGTCAGTGGAATTTATTGCTATTAATTCTATTTTCAAAAAAACATATCAACATTTGTTGACATATCAATATTTCAGGATCAGATCTCAATGAGTGTTAAATCTAGAAGCATTGTGTTAACAGATGTCAAACTTTTCTTCCTGCAGAAGAATTCATGTGTGATTCCAGGGTGAGTTCTCACCGCAGCAGGAACCTCTGCTACTCACACCACGGTGCCTTGGCCGCAGATGTGCGGAGAAATTCTCTGCACCCCAGAATCCCTAACGTTCCCTGACACCCTTTGATGTTCCGTCCCAGAGCCTCCTGCTAGTCCTTACAGTGTGCTCAGTGTACACAAACGACCTCGAGCCGTGTGGCAGCACTGAGATGCACAGGGTCAGCCCTCGACCGACTAGACCCTAGTCCTGAGTGATAAATTCTCCAGCCTCCCACACAGCAGGTTCTTGGGAAAGCCTAGCGGATCCAGCCTTGTGAGCTACAGCACCAATCTTTTTTTTTTTAAGAGGAAAAATCCCAGTAAAAACAATGATAGATTTCTCAAATGACCAATGCTGAATCTTGTTTCATATATTTATTTGCCATTTGTATTTCCTCATCTGAGAATTTTGTATTCATCTCCAATGCCCATTTGTGGGTTGGGATTTTAAACTACACTGAGATATCATCTCACTCCAGAAAGAATGGCTAACATCAAGAAATTAACTAATAATAAATGCTGGAAGAGCTGAGGAGAAAAAGGAACTCTTCTCCAGGGTTTGTGGGAGTACAGACTGGTGCAACCACTGTGGGAATCGGTATGCACATTCCTCAAAGAACTAGGATTAGAGGGCCCATTGGAGCCAGCTATTCCCCTTCTGGGTATTTTCCCAGAAGAACTGAAACCATCATACCACAGCGATATATGTGCACCCATGTTTACAGCAGCACAACTTGTAATAGCTAAATCTTGGAAACAACCCAAATGCCCATCAACTGAGGTTTGGATAAAAAAGATGTGGTATTTTTATATAATGAATACTACTTAGCCATAAAGAATAATAAAATCAAGGTTTTTATTGGTAAATGGAAGCAAGTAGAAACCATAATCATTGGTGAAATAAATCAAACTTGTATGTGTAAGCGCCTATTATCTTGCTAGTGTAAAAAACTGAAAGAGTAAAGAAGATCCGAATGTTACAATAAATATAGTAACAGGGAAAGAAAATACTCAAAGGGAAACTTTATTGTTCGTTCTTGCATGCCTGTCTCTGGTAACCTGAGCAATTAATTTGAGGATAACAATATTCAATATAGCAACGAATGATATCGTCTTGGTTTGGTATCCTATATTGCCATTTTTTGGTTGTTGTCATTTTGTTTTTGTTGTTGTTGTTTAATTGTTTGTTTGAGTGTTGATTTTTCTGATTTTTTTCTCTTTAAAAAAAGTTAAAAAAATAAAAACAATGATACAAAATTTCAAAACAAGATAGTAAGAGTAACAATGGTTAATGCTTTGGATATTGTTTTCTTTAAAGTAGGTGCTCAGATTACAAAGATATAGGCATGAAAAATTGATAAAATAATATAAGCACTAAACTTTCTTTTCAATGAAGTAATAGTAGTATAACTACCTTAACTATCGTGGAACATATGTGTGTATGGGGTGTGTGTGTGTGTGTGTGTGTGTGTGTGTGTGTAACTTATTTTTCCCTTCCTTTTTTTCTCCTTTCCCCCATCCCAGTTTCTCTTTCTTTTTGAACAGTTCTTCCCATTTCACAGTATCCATTGTGCATTTTGAATCTTATTTACTGTTTCAGTTTCTTACACCAGGGAGACAATATTTACACATGCAAGTCTGATTGATTTCACTTATGAGTACAGTCTCAAGTTGCATCCATTTGCATATAAAAGTCTCAAGTTTGTTCCTCTTTATGGCTGAGTAGTACTCCTTTGTATAAAAATACTGTATCTTTTTTAAAATCCATTCCTCAGTTGGTGGACATTTGGTTTGTTTCCAAGATTTAGCTATAAAATTGCACAGCACTGATCTTAAATCGCACGCATACTGATTTTTCTTCGTTGCTGTTTGTTTTTCCAACCCCTTGCTCTCTGCTTCTGGAAATCACCACCAAATAAACCAGGGCTTTAAAATGTCTTTGATCTTGTCTCAGCCTCTGATCTTGTATGAAATTCAAATGAAGATCTTACACCTTCAAGATAACAAAAAGGCTCTGTATGACCAGTGACTGTTGACTGAAGCAGCACTATCCAGTTATCTGTTTTGGGTTAAAGGACTTCTTAGGCTCTAGATCTATAATAATGATAATAATACTAGATTACTAATGTTAAATCTGAAAGATAGGACAGTGTGGATCCAATTTGTAAGCTAATGTCTTATTTTAATTATTTACTAAGGGGTCCTTTAGATTTTCTTGCTGATATTTGAAGTGGGTGAAAGTTCCTTATTCAGGTTAGAGCTGTAGATGCTATTAACTTGCCCTGATAGTATTGTTACCCAGCATACACTTAAAACACACAATCAAATACAGTAACCATCAATGGGAAAGGAAATAATTTTACTGGGAAATACCACATTTCATTTGAGTTTTAAATGTGTTTAAAGGTTCTGTTTTTGCAGAACGGAATTGATATTGTCAGAGACCAAAGGCCATCGTACACAGAATCCAGGCCTCCTCCGTTCTGATGGGCACCGGCTCCGGGGCAACCTCCCGCCTGCAGCCTCGTCTCAGCCTGATTATTTTTCTGTCCGTGTCAGACAGAGAGCACTTCCTAAACCGCAGCTGATCAGGTCACTTCCCTGACACTGGCCTGTCGCGGGGAGGCCTCTCGTCTCATGGAATGAAGTCTGTCTGGCCTTATTACTGGCCTTTCACGTGCTTTCCCCGCACAGCCCAGAGGCTCATCTTCCGGAACATCCTCACCTTTATTTGCACTCTGTGCCCGAGTGGGTAGCACGTGTTCTAGTCTTTATGCCCCCTCTGCCACCCCGCTAGCTCTGCCATCTGCCTGGCAGCAGGGGTACCCAGCCTTGTTCTCCACTCAGCTGACCTCAGTTCAGCTTGTGATGTTCTCCCGAGTCTCCTTGTCAGCCCCTAAGGCTAAAACTTTATTTGTGCTACAGAAACATTTTAACTATGTTTCCCACCATTAATTAGCTTCCAATTTCCAATAATAAGCTGCAATAGACCCAAGTTTTAGCTTGGCGCCTAATTAAAGCAATTTTTAAAAAAAAACAAACTTAGGCTTTCAAGGATAAGCCTTTATTTCAGTGGTCCCTGAAGACGTCCAGGAAGTAGTTGCTGGCACCTGTGAGTGTTACCCAGAGTGATGACAGAGACTTTGCAGGTGAAATTCCATTAGGGATCTTGAGATGGCAGATGACCCTGCAGGACCCAGGTGGGTCCTCAATGCAGTCCTAAGCACCCCATAAGAAGGAGCTGGGAGACTGGGCACAGAGGGCAAGGTGGCCACTGCAGTACAGTCCTGGGCTGCCAACTCTGAAGACAGAGTACAAGGGCTGCAGCTCTCGAAGCTGAAAAAGACAAGGAAACAAACCCCTCCTTCTAGACCCTTCTCAGGGAGCTTGATCCTCCCAGCAGAACTCATTTGGATTTTCTGGCCTGCAAAACTATAGAATTGATGCATATTGCTGGAAACATCAACTACTAAGTTTGTAGTGATTTGCTATCGCAGCCACAGAAAATTAATACACTGCCGAAGCCACTTAGACGCTCTCCTTTGATTTCCACGAAGAAAGATCTCCCAGGCGCATCCCCGTGCTCTCGCCCTCCTCTAGCCCCTTTGAGTTTAGGGCAGGGGATGGTGCGATTTCTGCTTCAGGACACTTTGCTGGCTCTTACACATTGTTAGACCGTGTACCTTTGCCAGCTGGATAACAGCTCAATGGGGACAGGGCCCGCCTGTGTTTTGTCCAGCTTGGTATTCTTAGTGCTTTGTCCAGGCATGACTTTCTATTCAATTGTACCGAGAAGCGTATTTTAGAACATGGTTGGTTCCATGTGATTCTATCTAATAGCATCTTAATAAAAGCGCGTTGAGCATGCACATCTAAGGAAGAGCCTGTCTTCAATGTCAGGGGCTGCTCCTGAACCCACTTCCTGCCTCCTGCAGTCCCTGACCCAGGGAAATGGGGCAGAAGTGCCAGGGAGCCTTGCTGCGGAAGTCATGTCCCTGTTCCTTCCTGTGCTGGCTGTGCTGTCGCCATACCCAGAATGTGAGGTACGCTGGAGCTGTAAACAAGGGGGCAGGGGTATGAGCCTTGTGCTATGAAGTGCTTTGCTAGAACCAGCTCCTGAATCCCGCCAATAGCTCCAAAAGCAGATGCTACTTTTATTCTCATTTAAAGGACCAGGAAACCAAGACAGGGAGCCTGAGGAGCGCAGCCAGGGTCATGTTGCTTGCAGCTGGCAGAGTCCAGCGTCGAGCTCCAAACCCTACCCCATGTTGCGTTTGAGAAACAGCAGCCCTGGCAGAGGTGCTGGCAGAACATCGTACCCTACAAAAATCTTGCTCGCCTCTGGCAGGCCTCTTCGGGGTGCAAGTCTCAGGTGTGCCGGGCTGGGCAGCTCATATGTTGAGACCCATGAAACAGCTTCCTGGTACAAGAAAAAGGGCCTACTGCTGCCATAATTATTTTTCCCCACAAGGTAGAGGGTCATGTTGCCTGCAGGCCCAGGACCGGAAACACTGACCTTGTATAAGACCTGGACGTTCAAACAGCTCATGAAAGTGTCGTGAAGCAAGAAGCAGGAGACGGGCGGAAAGTGAAAGCAGCACACATGGAGCTTCTTTGCAGCAGGAACATTTTATTAGAATGGAGCTAATGCATCTGAACGACTGCGCTATTCTAAGTTCCTGTAGATTGTGGAGTTTCAGGTTTTATAGCACAGACACTAGGTTAACTTTGTTACTTTGCAAAATCAAACACTTTAATGAAAACATGATTGGAAAGGTTGGAATACTGTTTGGATCTCTGCCTCTCTTGGAACTCAAATTGAGAACCCAGGGTTTTAGTTACAAGGCTGGCTGCCAACCTCGGCTTCTGGGACAGCATGGCCAAGGTTCCGACCCATTTCCCATCATGAACTTGAAGATACACACTTCTGAGATGTTTCGCTCTTGTGAGTTGGGCTTCTAAACAACAAGAAACTAAGTTTACGTGGCAAATGAAAGACACCTAAGGTCAGGGAAGCTGCTTTATCTTTTCTCCCTCAGCATGTGTTAGCTCCTTTTTATTACCGAGGGAACACTGACATTCACGCTCCTCTTTGCAAGGCCTGTTTGCAGTTTCCTCATCTATCATTCTAGATGGGAGACAGATGCAGGAGTTATCCCAGATCACATTTCTAAATGTTTAACACCCTACAAGTGAGATGGGCATTTTGATTGAATTTAGTCAGAAATGGGGCTTGTTAAAAGTCAGTTCCTTACATAACACAGTGATGCTTGCAGCAGATAACTAAAGCTGATGGACTCTGTGTGTCCTGGAGTGGATCAAAAGTAGAAAGGTTTACCTGTGAACCTGGAATTTGAGGTTATACATAAAGCTTAGGGAGAGGAGACCACAGTTTTTTGTGGTTTTTTTTTTTTTTTTTTTTTTTTTTTTTTTTTTTTTTGGTACCAGGGTTGGAACTCATGACCTTGTGCTTGCCAGGCAGGTGCTTACATCACTGAGCTAAATCCCCAGCCCTGAGCTAAATCCCCAGCCTGTCCACACTCTTTGATTCACTCAGATGAGTGAATTCGGTAAGTAGTTATTGTGTCTATTCTGGGCTGTCTCTAAATACAGGCCCTGGATAATTAACTCGGGCCAGTCAGCATAGACATCACCTCCTGCCCTGTACCAGGTGTTGTGTTGACTGTAGATCCACAGGTATAGGACTTGGTCTCTGCTTGGACAATGTCCACTTTACAGGTGAATGTTGCCCATGTCTTTAGGTCTATAACTTGATCTCCACTTTCCGTCTTCACCCCGTGGTGGTCAGTAAACCAATCCCAAAGAGAAGAAAACAGATGCATGGTATCAATAGATTTTATTTCCTCTTCATCCTCTCTGACTGCATTTGTAGAATACTTTCAACACTTCATGATCACCTGAATGTTCATTTCCTAGTCAATATTAGTTGAATACTTATCTTATAAAAATTTAAACTTGAATCCAGAAACAAATTTCTTACATTTCATTTAACTAGTGTATGAATGCCGACTAACCACCAAACAGGGCACTGCACCATTTATTCAACAGACAAATGGGGGAAAGTTGTAGCTTAGTGGCAGAGACAGGCCTGGCCAGAAGGCCTTGGGCTGGACAGAAACTAAAAATTCAAAATATTACTATCTTTTAGCGAATTGAGTATTTGCTTTGAGAAGCTATATGCTCATTTTCTGAGATTGATATTTTTTGGAATATCACTGGAACTGCCATATACCTCAGTATAATTACTTCTAAGCATATTTGAGTCTTATAATTTCATAAAATCTATTATGACTTAGTAATCAGACCTTGATTAAAAGGCTAGTTTGATCACTCATCCTATACCCAGCCAGTGTCTTAGCTCTATGCCTTATGTATGCACCAATCTCTTGGTCATTCTTTTTTTTTAAAAGAGAATAAAACCAAACAAAACAGAATAAAGTAAATTAGGACACAACAATGCAAGCAATACAGGACTTCGAAACTAGACAACAGGAAATCAACAATGGCTCCCATAATGTCTCTCATTTTCTTCACAATAGCTGTCCATACCTTCACACACAATACAATCAAACAAAACAGAACAGAACAAAACCAATCAATTGGTCATCCTTCCTTAAAAGGAGCCATGACCCGGGAATCCTCCAACAGGATTCAAGTAGGCACACCAAAGGGATACTCTTAGCAAAATCATTCTGTTTATGTCTAGACTTTCCGCCTAGTCCCAGGAGGAGTAACTTTAGAACACAAGGTGCCCTGAGAAAGCCTTTGGCGGGGAACACACTCAGCAGGTTGGCCAGGCTCTGTGGTTACCTCTTTCTAGGTCTACACCCTAATCTCAAGTTTCCATTGAAACCCAGATCCCAAGGAAAAGAAAGGAGAGCACTTGTTTATTTATTCTTCTTGTACTAATAACTCAGCA